GGTGAGCAAATAACTGAATGCAGTAGAATAAAAATTAAATTAAAAGTAAAGTAGCCAGAGCCAATGAAAACTGTGTTCATAGGGTGTTTGTTTTGGAAGAGAAGTTTGAGTATACTTTTAGGCCCTGAACAAGAAGTTAGTGAAAACAAAATGTTGAAAGAGTAAATTAATGATAATAGCCAGGCCAGCGGAGGTATAAAGGACCAGATTACACCACCGCCACCAACAACACAATTGTTCAAAGGATTAGCTCTGAATAAGGAACATCTTTTGTCCCCCCAACTGTAGTCATCTGAAATACCTAAAAACCCTTAGGTAGACCCCTCATCAGAAAACAATATATAGATGCAAAATAAGCATATGAAAAGACACTCCAAATCACATGGAATGCAAATTAAAACAACAACAAGATGCCACTGCACACCTATTAGAAATGGTCAAAATCCAGAACATTGACAACACCAAATGCTGGCATGGTTATAGGGCAAAAGGAACTCTCATTCATTGTTGATGAGAATGCAAAATAGTGATTTGGTGGTTTCTTATATAATTAAATATATTCTTACCATAAGATCCAGCAGTCACAGTTCTTGAGATTTACTCAAAGGAATTGAAACCTTACGCTCACATGAAAACTTATACGTTCATATTTGCAGCTTATTCATAATTGCCAAAACTGGAAAGCAGCCAAGCTGTCCTTCAGTAATTAAATGGATATATGAGCTGTTGTACATCAAAACAATGGAATATTATTCAACACTTAAAAACAACCTATCCAGTAATAAAAAGACATGGAAGAATCTTAAATGAATATTACTGAGTGAAAGAAGCCAATTTAAAAGGGCTACATACTGTATTATTCCAACTGTATGTCTTTCTGAAAAAGGCAAAAGGATGGAGACAGTAAAAAGATAAGTGTTTGCCAAGGGTTGGTAGGAGGGAAGAATGAATAGATAGGGCACAGAATTTGGGGCAGTGAAAATATTCTGTATGATACTATACTGATAGACACATGTCATTAAACATTTGTCCAAATCCATAGAATGTACAGCACCAAGGTTGGCCCCTAAACTATGAACTTCAGGTGATTGTGGGGTCAGCATGGGTCCATCAGTTGTAACCAATGTATCATTCTGGTGGGGGATGTTGATAATGAGGAAGGCCATGCAAGTCTGATGTAGGAGGGTATGTGGAAAATCTCTATACTGTCTCTTAATTTTGTTGTGAACCTAAAACTGCTCTACAAGAGTTAACATATTAAAAATATTTACTTAAATTATGTATATGTCTTGAGATTATGAAATAAAAAATCTATCTCTGTAGTGAAAACCCAAAGAAATGATAAAACTGTTAAAAATGTTACATATTTATTTTTGTTCAATTACAATTTATATTCAGTATTATTCTGTATTAGTTTCCAATATACAGCAAACTAGTTAGAAAATTATATACTTTACAGAGTGGTTCCCCTGCTGCTTCAATACCCAACAGGCCTTATATATATTTATAATGATATTACTGACTATATTCCCTATGCTGTAATCTACATCTTGGTGACTATTCTGTAATAAGCAATTTGGACAGTTTAATTTCTTCACCTTTTTCATCCATGCCCCAACCCCCTTCACCTTTGACACCTGTCAATCTGCTCTCTCTATCTAATGAGTCTGTTTCTATTTTTTTATTTTGTACATTAGAACTTTTAATGATGACATGAATTCTTGTACCAGAAACCTAAGGGTTGTTGTTGGCACTAAGAAGCAGGCAATGACTTCTTTGCATACTTAACATCAATCATATCATTTATATAATCATGTACCATAGGTCTATGAACTCTTTCCTTACTATTCCATTTATCAGCCAAAAGTTCTGGTTAGTCATTTCCAATATTTTAGTTCTTCATTTTCTTTTAAACTCATAGATTCAAAATCTCCCCATCCCTGAAACTAAGAGGAAGATAAAACACCTCATTTTAAATTCCTGGAAGATTCTCTGAAAGCACAGTTTTAAATGCTTACACCAGAAAGTTTACCTGACCTAAATTCTGACCATTAGATAATACACTATTGGAATAAAGGCATTAAAGAATGGCTAATTCACAAATACATGATCTAGAAGGTAAAAGAGCTTTCACATATTAAGATTTGACTATTATATATGGTTAATGAAAGACAGGAAAGTTTGACTACTTGTTTGAATCATTGCTTCAAAAATTCTGTGTCTTGGCAAACTTACCCTGGTGGTCCTCTAAGGAGGACCAGGGTCTAATTGTCTAATTATTCAATTACCTCCTGACTTCTCTTCCCCCATAATCTAATTTAATCTTTATGAGCCATGATGCTTTGGGGTTTATGGTCCTTGCCTTTTCTGAATATATTTTATGTTGAATATATTTTATTTAGACACTTGAAGTGTCTCTCATCTAATCAGAGTGTAACTCAAAAACTTTACTGATATCAGATAGGCATAGAGGTACAGGACTTAATATATTTTGTTAGAGTATCTTAAAAACTCAGGACACTGTATTTTTCCAGTTTGTAGGAATGCAGATGATAAAAGCTGTTAGCCCATAATAATAATATAACAGAAATACTAACATCAAAAATTATTTTAAGCCCTGGCTGGTGTAGCTCAGTGGATTGAGTGCAGGCCTATGAACCAAAGGGTTACCAGTTCAATTCCCAGTCAGGGCACATGCCTGGGTGGTGGTCCAGGTAGATCCCCAGTGGGGTCCACATGAGAGGCAACCATACATTGATGTTTTTCTTCCTCTCTTCCTCCCTCCCTTCCCCTCTCTCTACAAATAAATAAATACAATCTTAAAAAATAATTTTAAAATAAATGGTAAGAGAACAGTTTTTTGTATTAAACATTTATGTAGCACCTTCTATATGCTATGTATTGTTCTTAGCATTTTCCCTCAACTTATTCAATCATTATAACCAAAGAATGAGGTAGGTACTGTTATTATCACCACAAATGGTACAACTGAGGCTAAGAGAGGTTAAATAATTTGTCCAAAGTTATACAGCTAGTAAGCACCAAAACCAAGATTCATATTTAGATAATTTGATTCTAAAAGATGGCAAGTTACTAAAACACTATGCTAAGTCTTTGCTACAAGAAGAAGAAGAAGTCCTTGGGGAAATAGTAGAAGCCTTGAGAGGAGAGCCTCCTGGGACTGGACTAGAGAGAAATGACAAAAGCTTTCACCTTTGCCCATGGGTTCTCTCTTTTAATGTGTGATGGCAACACAGAATGTTGTTCCCTGTCTAAAGCACAGCACAACAATGACCAGGACTTAACTTTTTTTTGACTTGCACTTAGTATAGCTATGGCAGGCAAGCATTTTAAAAACATAATTGATAATAGCAAGCATAAAAGAAGAATTTTTTAAAAGGGGAAAAATGTAAAAAACCCCAAACATTAAGCCTGTAAGTACACAGATCTGATTCAACAATAACTGACTGGTTTCCCAGGTTCCTAGACCTTGTTGCATTCCACGTTTACTTCCTTAAGGAGTCTCTCACTCTAAAGAACTCTATGCTTTGCCAACTACCTATGCTGCTACCTCACTAAAAGGTCATATTGATAAGACCCAATATATTCCTTCAACTTGTCAAGTGTTTCTTTATGACCTGAGAAAATAAAAGGAGGATATTTTCCTCTATCACTCTCCTAGGAAGCCCCATTCGGTTTCTGATGTATGATTTGAGGAGTACTTGCCTGGCAGGACTGTAGTCATTCGAAACTCCAGGATCTAAGCTGCAGTACATGTCCACAACATAATATAATGATGCACAGCAACTGTGCAAGAAGGATTACCTTTGCATAGTAATCGCAGGCTCTTCCTGTCCAAAACTACTTCCATATCATTTGAGAAATCATATTTAGAATTTTCTTTTTCCTATTTATAAGCTTAAAATGTTTTTTCCTAGGGAAAAAATATCTAGGTAGTAATTTAACAGGCTACAAATTTCTGAATGAAGTTGTCTCTCAGCATTTACAACCCAAAGCAAAACTTACTTCTACTAATGAAGGTATATTTTTATTAAATGTGTTCATAAAAATATTTTATATTGAAGTCTATAGTAACACAGTCTAAGAACTGTATGAGTTCTTAGATTTGGGACATCCCCATTGTCTCAAAGGAATGTGTGGCATTATATTATTTTAATCTATTTTGCCATTAGGGAATTATTACATAAGATAAGCAATATTTCTGGCACCAATTCATCAAAAGAATGGGCGAATTTTCACTGTAACACCTTATTCACGTATTTAAGAAGATTTTTATAGCTATCTGAAAGGTGACATTTTACTTTTGCCTAGCCTAGCATTGTATTAATACATTCACTTTTATTTTTTAAATGTACAGATATTTCACAATATTTTTATCATAGAAGGGTACAAATAATTTAGTTATCAGTGCATGCATTGAAATGACCTTAAGATTTAGATTTAATATTCTATTGGTCCCAACCTCCAAACCTAGAGAGAGTGAGGGATGAAATTTGAACAAATTCAAAAATAACTTCCTTTAAAAACCGTGTCAAAGAAACTTTTCTGCATAACAATAGTACAACGGCTACTGTTCCGTCTGGAAGTTTCCCCACAATGGTAAACTTGATGTTTGTAATTTGAAGTGCCTAAAAATGGTCAAGAGTTAAAGCAAAGAAGAGAACTTTTGCTGATAAATTCTCAGGTAGCTTTAAACTACTTTAATTTCCTAAGGACCAATTATGGTTAGAGAAAATTTACAGGTCTTCAAATCAGTGTTGGTATTTGCATGTCAAGGGTCAATGTAAATTTTGAGGAATAAACACATTCTTTGCAAGCAGCTGAAAACTGCTGAGAACAAAATGAACTTTTTCCTTGATGGTTATCAAAGAAATTAACATTAATAGTACAGGATTTTGTATATCTACATTAAAAAATTAGAATGAAGAGGTCAAAAGGGTCTGAAATAGGGTTTCCAAATGCAAAATTTATAGACTTACTAGTACATGCCATAGAAGGTGGGTCTTTTTCAGCTCGGAAGTAACCCTTTTCACACTGACAGACCGAAGTTGCTTCCATGTAGGTTAAACTGTGTGGAGGGCATTTAGAACATTTTGTGTTCCCAGCAAATGCTTTATAGAATCCTGGTCTGCAAGCTGCAAAAACAAGAAAAAAGTTTCTGTTATCCCTAGAGGTCTTTTATTTGCACCTGTACAATGCATTTTAATTTAAACACACTTTGAATCAGAGTTCAGTGTTATGCACACACAGAAAATCAATATATGTTAATATTAATTAATTAAATTAGTTATTCAAAATCAGTAACACAATAGTGACTTCACATTTTACTTAGGGTTGCTAATTCGAAAAGGCACACCTGAAACACACACATACAAAATGGCATTGCTTAACGAAATGGGGGTGTCCATTAGCGACAGAAAAGAATCATTTTGTGTAGTCCCAATAGATGGCATTAAATAACATTGAATCACACTGCTAAAAATGTATTTGTGTTCCATTTCTTCCTTAGTCCATCTGAGTACTCAAGGAGAAAATCCAAGTGTGATGCTAGGATATCTTTAATACTTTTCTTAAGGGGTAAATAACTATTTTTAAACAAAATGGGGGCTGACCTTATGTTTAGAGACCTTAGCAAGCAAGATCCAGCTTACTTGTTACATTGATTTATTTTTAATTATTTCTATTGTTATGATGAATGATTGATGACCCTGAGAAAAATATAGCGCCAAGATAATGGTTAATCAAGCCCAAATTTAAAACCAGAGTCTAGCGGACATTGTGCTGACCTGAGCTCCTTGCCTTCTGAGTAGGCCCTTGTAAGAGTTCCTAGGGTCAAAATTCTACCAATAGAATTCTACCAAGTTTGAGAGTTTCCCCATCTACCCAGAGCTATGCAGCTATAGCCTCATTTGCATTTCAACAACCAATCAGAATGGCTTCATTCTGACCAATCAGGATGCTGCTATTTGGACCAATCAAAATATGATGATTTGGAGTTCTCATTTGTATAGAAATGGACTAATCAAGGAAAGGTCTGGGAACCTCTCTGTAAGTCAGTCTCCTCTCTGTCTCTGTGAGCACACTTTCAGTTCCCATTGAAGACTGTTTCCTTGGCAGAAGATGTAACACTGGGGTGGAGCTGTCTTGCCTGGGATGAACTGTGGCATGGAAGCTGTGACACTGGAGGCTCCCTGCCTGGGCCACGTCACCCAAACTCTTCCACAGCTGTGCTGTTCCACATCCACGTGGTTAAACAATTGCAGTGTTTCACAGCCATGATGTTTCACAACTGATCTGCTTTCACTTTATAAAGTATCCTCATTCACTGAACCCCAAATCTGGGAATCCTCTTGGTGTTGAATTAATTGGCAGTGATAACTTTTTCTTCATATAATTTTTCTATTTATTATATTGAAATAAATTTACTTTAAAATTTTGACCTGGCTGGTGTAGCTCAGTGCATTGAGCACAGGCCTGCGAACCAGAGGATCGAGGTTCGATTCCCAGTCAGGTCATATTCCTGGGTTGCAAACCAGTTCCCTGCAGGCCAGTCCCCAGCAGGGGATGCACAAAAGGCAACCATACATTGATATTTCTCTCCCTCTCTCCTTCCCTTCCCCTCTAAAGATAAGTAAATAAAATCTTTAAAAATATAATAAAAAGTTTTTTGAATTACTTAAAAGTAGGTAGACAAATATTTAGTGACTAAGGTATGCATGCTATATACATATGGCAAAAATCATGAAAATGGAATGCAAATAAGTAAATTCTCACAAAAAGTCATGAAAATGTAAATGAGCAAAGTTATGTGATGAAAAGGTTTATTGAACCCGATTTTCTCTTTGCTTAAATCTGTGCCGTCATTTTCGGTGTACATCTTTACAGGAATGAAGACCTAGGAGGAGGGTCCAATGCTTGGCGTGCACCCAGGGTCCTGAACGGTAAAGGGTTAGTTTCCGGTCTTAAAGAAACCACTTTTGACCATTTCCTAAATTAACACTGTTATACAAAATTAAAATAATTTTTCAGTGACATTATATTAAAATGTTTTAACAAACTATCTATTTTAAACCAATATTTTTCACAAAATACTATAATTAAAAATATACAAAACCCAAATTTATGCATAAATTTATCATTATGCAATGATAAATTTGTGCATAAGGCTTCTGCTTATGTTTTTAGGACAGAAAAAACAATTGCCATTAATTTTTTGAAGTAAAGTTAATTCCTACCAGAATGAGTCCCAACAAAATATCTTTCTCTAGGTTCACATATTGATGAATATTTGTACAAATCTAAATTAATGCAATTCTTATTGATACTGGTAGTATATCTGCACCAGGCATGCACACAAACACACACATATGTGTTGTAATTGTGTTACCTTTAATAGTTTGTTATTTGCTTTTATAAAATGCTTTAATAATTTAAGAGAAGTAAAATTATCAATACTACACAGTAAAATTATCATTAAATGATTGGCTGTTCAATATATATGAAGCTATGAGTAGTGGTACATAAATAACAACACAGTCTCTTCTCTAAGGTGACAATAAATTAATTAATACTATAATGGCTAATCAAGAAAAACACTATTATCAAAATATTTCTCTGGGCCACAGATTGCCCCTCTGACTGAGGCTTCACAGGGCAGGTCTGCTCCACCACGGATGCGATTACCCCAACAGGGTAGGTGGGGTTGGCACATGGGGTCAGTGCACCCTCACCGTGGCCTCTGGAATTCACATCAGTGCCAGTGGTGGGCTTCTCCACAGCTGGGGCTGGCCTTGCTGGTCCAGGAGCCTCTGGCCCCTGACTCAGCCAGTGCAGGTGATGGATCAGGCTATGGTCACTTGGTGGGAACCAACTGCACAGAGCCCAACCTCAGGCCGGGCAGGGTTAACGGATGGTAATGTTGGGGAGGGAGGGGAGTAAGGAAGGGAGAGGGGAGCGGCAGGGACAGTACAAAATAAGAACAACAAAATAACCTTGAATATATAAGATTAAACAGAGCAAAGGTCAGGGGGATAGGGAATAAGAAAAAGAAGCTTCCCAGCATTTAGGAGCCAGATTTTTTCTTCCTACCCCAAACTCTTTCCTCTGGAACAGGCATGAAGGACTCAGAGTTCTACTGGCAGTATTTTTTTTTTTGCCTCTGCACTCACTTAGATATTAAAAAAAATAAAAATTCAAGAAGTAGCCCTTCTCCTAGAGAAATTGGGCAAAGAGCTCTTATCTGCTTGTTAATCATTTTGGGATTTTTGTGGGAATATTGTGTTGGAAGGACCTCCACACTCAAAGTGCAATTCCCTGGACCAGCGACATTGGCATCTCATGTTGGAAGAGCAGTCTCGGGCCCTCCAGATGGATTGAATCAGAATCCACAGCTACACAAGATTCCCAGGGGGCTGCATGTGCATTCTATTTGGAGAGCTCTGTCTGCATTACTGGTTTTTAATTCTGGCTGCATGTTGGAATCACCTAAAGTTGTGGGTTGACTTACAGTGTTTTTAAATAAAAAAAGAAAAGTACATATTTCTCTAAACCTGTCAAAATGCAGAGTATATAAATAATATATAATCACCCCATTAACATTTTCTTAAATGAAATATTTTTTAGAAAATATTTAATTTCTAAATGTAATCTTGTGACAATAGTTACAAGACACTGTATCATAAGCTATTCAATGAATCAATTTATATATATTTTGTCAGTAAAATCATTATATTCTTCTTAGTCATACAGTTCAAAATAACTGAATATATTTCATAATATATTGGGTTGGCCAAAAAGTTCATTTGGATTTTTCTGTAAGATAGTTCTAGTAGTACTTAGCTGTTGTTAAATTTATTTGGAACAATTTTGTTAGATTGTATTGTGACAGCTGTCACGTTAATGTGCATTAAAAAAAAAGACATCAAAATTGGTGAATTTTTGTGTAGACACTTCAATATTGAAGATAAAAGAAAATAAACAACATTTTTGGCATATTATGGTTTTATTTCAAGAAAGGTAAAAACACAACTGAAACATACAAAAAAAGATTTGTGCACTGTATGGAGAAGGTGCTGTGACTGACTGAATGTGTCAAAAGTGGCTTACGAAATTTTGTGCTAGAGATTTCTTGCTAGATGATGCTCCATAGGTAGACCAATTGAAGTTGATAGCAATGAAATCAAGACATTAATTGAGAACAATAAATGTTATAGCATGCAGGAGATAGCCAACATACTAAAAATATAATGTTATTTTGATTAATGTTATTGGTGAAAATGAAAAATGTGTCTTTTATTTTGCAGAACAAACTAAATGGACTTTATGGCCAACCCAACACATTTGTAACACTTCACTAAAAAATTTAAAATGCTGAACTTAAATATAAATTTAAATAATATATTTAATCTATTATAATATTTAGAAATATATCAATCAGTTTATAGAGAATATGTACTTTAAAAGGGGAACTTGTATCTGTATATTCCAATGTTACTTTAAATATAATTTAAATATTATCATAAAGGTCTTTCGGGTCACTTTTTGAAAAAGGACATTTTAAAAAATAAATTTATTAGGACTATGAATGTTATAGAACTACACTAAATGTTCAGTGAAGACAAATACTGTATGATCTCACTTATATGTGGAATCTAATTAACAAACAAACAAAAACCAAGGAACTCACGGAAAAAGATCAGATTTGTGGTTGCCAGAAGGAAGGGTGGGGTGAAAGAGTATTGGCACAAGGGGGTCAAAAGGTACAAACTTCCAGTTATAAAATAAGTGATTACTAGGGATGCAATGTACAACATGACGAAGTTAACACTGCTATCCGATACATAGGAAAGTTGTTGAGAGAGTAGGTCCTGCGAGTTCTTACAAAATAATTTTTTCTTTTTTTAACTGCATCTGTATGATATTATGAATGTTAACTACACCTATTGTGGTAATCATTTCACAATATATGTAAATCAAACCATCATGCTGTACACCTTAAAACTTATACAGGAATGTATGTGAATTATTTCTCAATAAAACTAGAACAAAACAAAAAATAAAGATTTACTCTAAGTTCAGATAAAAATTTTATTAGACATATAAACAAAAACTATACACATTTTGTTTCTTTTCTGTT